TTCCACCACTCGACCACTCCAAAGCTGACGGAGATCCAGCTGCAGCAGCTGTGTAAGCAGCCGTAAAAGCGGCTCCCTCTCCTCTTCCCACAAGGATCCAGAAGTCTTGGCATGGTTCTTCCTATTCTAGAGAGGAGATTACACAGTAAGATACATCAGCAGCTTCACAACAGACAAAACCCCATCATTACTCTGCTTCCTTCAAAATATAAGAAGTCTGTTAAATTCTACAGCATTAAGAGACACACAGTGAGATGTGTGAGATCACAGGGGCTTTTCTCCCCGCTCTTCTCTCTCAGCTCAGGCCAGCACCAGTGCCTTGTGTGGTTTAAGGATTATACCTGCATCCACTGCCATCACAGAAAGGAAATCTTGAGAAAACACTGGCACACTAAGTTCCAGCCAGAAACTCAAGAATGAAATAGAAAGGTCTGGGCATCCAAGTCCCTTCTGAAATTTAGACACATGACTGTCCCTTTGCTGTTTTCCATGCACAGTTTCACAGAAGCACCAGTGCTTCACATTAGGCACTTCTCTTGCTGGCATCATGTTTATATAAACCTAGCTATAAAATCTGACAGATACTACAGAGTTCAGCAAGCTTAAAATTTTATTCTGACTTTTATAATCTTTCCCCCAGTCCCTTCACCTACCTTCCTACCAGGATCTGCCTCTGAGCAACTGTTCTTGCAGGTTTCCATTTCAAAGGCATCCATCAGGCCAGTCAGCAAATAGCAGTTCATCTTAAGAGCATTGAGGTGAGCAGCCCGGTCTGCATGGCTCAGCCCAGAGTCACTCAGGATAGTGGGAAGTTCATTGGAATGATGGGACACCACTGAGGAGAAGCAGAAAGTCATGAGCACTCCTTGCCAGGTGCCTCAGCCATCCTCTCTTCGGGAGGCTTATAGCAGCCATCAGATTACCAAAGATGTGTGCTCACATCTCACCAGCTGTAACATGGGCTGCCCCCTGCAACCCAGACCTTGGGCACACTGTCTTGTCCTATCCCCACAGCCCTCCATCAGCTCAGGGAAACACTCGCTCTGAGCTGAAACATCCCACAGATGCATATTCCAGGGACAGGGGCAAGAGGATTTTCTGTCGGTCTGCCCTTACAGCGAACATGCACAACTCAGCATCGTCCACCAAGATTACAGACCCGTATGACAGGAGTGGGCTGAGGGTGCAGCCCAGCTGGCCGAGTCACATTAGCCTTTATATCATCATTGAGCTGCCAAGGGAAAACAAGCTCTCTGTTAGTCCGGAAACAGCGGGTACCCACCGTGCATCATCAGCTCCAGGGCGTCCTCCTTGACAGCCGTGCCCACGGTTCGGAAGTGGCTGCGGGACAAGCACAGGGCGTAAGGCGGCGAGCGAAGAGCGCGGGGCAGAGGGGCGAGTGCCCGCGCTCCCGCCCATCCCTGCCCCGTACTCGCCGCCCCGCCCATCCCTGCCCCGCACTCGCCCCGTACTCACTGCAGCACGCTGTACACGCAGTCGAAGTGCTCCAGCACGGCCAGCGCGCCCCGCGCACGGGAGGCGGCCCGGAAAGCTGCGGCAAAACACGGAGAGACGCGGGGGGATGCCCGTGAGCCGGCGGCAGGACCGGGCCCGACCGGAAAGGGGGTGTAGGGACCTTACCTGCGAGTGCGGGCGGCAGGTCGCGGACGGCCAGCACCTCCTGCACCACGTAGCGCCCGGGGCCGCCATCCCGCAGCAGATCGGCGGCAGCGAGGGGCAGGTGGAACTCCGGGGCCGCCGCCATGGCCGCCACAGCCCCGCACGGCCCCGGGCGCTCGAAACCGCGCGCGCAGACCGCGCTCGCCCCGCCCTTTCCCGCCACGGCCCTATCAGCGCCCGCCGGCCGCGCCGCGCGCCGGCCCCTCGCCCAATCGCCGGCTCCCCTGCCCTCCCGACCGTTAGCGTGACGTCACCCGCGCGCCTCTGCGCTCGGCGGCGGAAGGGGCGGCCCGGCAGCACGGCCGCGCTTCCCGTCCCGTCCCGTCCCCGGGGCACCGGGGGGCTTCCCCATGGCGGCGGCGGCAGCGCTGCTGCTGCGGGCGGCGGGCCGGGCCCTGCTGGGCCGTGCCACTCTCCTGCCCTGCGCCGAGCGGGGCTTTAGCGACTGCAGCGGGGCGCGCTGGGCGCCCGCGCGGCCCGGCCTCCCCGTGCCGCTGTCCTCGCCCCTGGCAGGGCTCACCCGGCCCATCCGCATCAAGGAGCCGCCCAAGCGCAAGCCGGTAGATCGGTGGACGAAGAAGCGGGCCTTGTTCGGGGTGTATGATAACGTGGGGATCCTGGGTAAGACACACAGGTCTGTGGGCCCAGGGCGGGACGGGAGGGAGGCCGGACTCACCTGCGGGATGGCGCCTCTGTCAGCAGCGACAGGGCAGGGAGGATGGGCGCCGGCCGCCCTGGGAACAGCCTTCTCCAGGGCCTGGCTTCATCTGTCTGTGCTCTCCTGTCCTCAGGCGGCTTCCAGATCCACCCGAAGAATCTCATCATGGGGCCCACCTGGCTGCGAGGCTGGCGGGGGAACGAGCTGCAGAGGTGCCTCCGCAAGAAGCGCATGGTGGGCGATCGGATGTTTGCAGAGGACTATCACAAACTCAACAAGAGGATCCGCTACTTGTACAGGCGCTTCAACCGCACCGGAAAGCACCGATAAGGAACAGCAGTGCCTTCAGCCTGTGGAGTGTCGGTTTGTGGCATTGCAGTCAGAATAAAGCCAGCTTCCACACAATTGAGTTCCCAGTGCTTTCTACAACCTTTGCTGCCTATTTCTACCCGGGTCCCAAGGTCCTGCTGCTGCTCCAGGCCTGAGCTCCTCTGTGCCCCCTCAGTCATTTCTGACGTACTTCTTGCAGGCATCTGTTGCAACCAGCATCCCTGACCTTGACCCTCTGCTCCTCTGGTTTTTTGGCCAGGCTTCTAGCATCCTTTGACATCCCAGATTCACAGATCTAACGTGGCAATTCCAGTATTCTCCAGCTTAGATTTTTCCTCATAGCCAAATTTTTCAAATCAATGCCACGAGGTCCTGCTAATACGTCTTCCTGCTCGTGGCTTTCCCCATTGCCCTCCACTCATGTGTGGTTAAGTGTGAATGATCCAAATGTTAGTTTAAATGCATCAAAACTTGTCTTAAGAACAGGATTTGTTTCATTCCACACTCATGATGACTTTATCCCCTGCTAATGACACTTTATGACCAAATGGCCTTTTGTTTATAATTTAGGCAGGATTTGCAAAAGTAATTCAGGTATTTAAATGTTTTTAAAAATTCTAGCTTCTAGTTTTCAGTAACTGTTGCCAGTTCCTTTAGAGGAGAAGTTACAGTGAATCTCAGCTGGCATCCCTCTAGTCCAACACCACACCACTGTACACTTGGGAAAATCCATTAGATAAGCAGGCATTTGCATACCAATTCTGCCTTAGTTGTTAATTTAGCTGCTCGGTAATCAGGGAATTATCTGCTGACTTGATGCATCTTGCTACAGAGCAATGCTGCTCTGTCTCCAAAAGCATTTGTTTGGAAGCAGCAAGGAATGAATGGAAAGAACTTTCTTTAGGCCTAAGCCTGAGGAAAGTGAAGGCAAAGTCTCTGTTTAAACAGCTGAAGTCCACATTTTCAGTGGCAGGGTGACAGACCTGTGGGACTTGCCAAAAGGTGTTGTGGATTCAGGAAGCTTGCACAGATCCAAGTGGGGACAGAGCAGGTATAGCAAATCCTTGACTGAAAATATGTCAGAAACTGGAAAAGTATCAGAGAAAGTATCTTGTACCCTTTGTCATCTCTTCATCTCTCAGCACCAACCTGGCAAAAGCTCCATGGCCACTAATTGCATAAGCTCAAACTTATTTGCAGTGGTTATTGGAATGGTGCTCAGACTGCAGTGGAAAGGCTGCCAGCCTACAGAAGCTTCTTCATCAGCTTGTGCCTTCATCTGAAGGCAGTGTGTAAGAACCTGGAGTTCTGAGGTCAGTGCTAGACTGCTCCTATCTGCAAACCACTTGTCTCTAGTCACAACGCTGCATTCTTCTTCACCTTGTAACCATGACCTTCTAGTTACCATGCTGTAAGCTGTAACATAGCTGTCTTGTGTACCTAATCGTCTCTGAGATCTGACACTAAAAACTTACGTGAACATCCTGCATCACCTGATGGAAGGAAAAGGTAGTGAAAGTGTGAGCCTGCACTTGTCACTCTACTCACCATGCAAAATTCTGTATGAAGAGTCTTCTTGTTCCAGTACACTCCTGCCCCCTTTTTTGTCCTGTGTTGGAGAATCTCCCCTTCTGATGCAGCAGGCTTCTCCAGATATTTAGATGGAAAAACCCCAAACGCATTGCTGTTCTTGGGGCTGCTGTGGGAGCCTCATTTCTCCCAGCAGGCTGCAGAAGCTCGATCGGGACTTGTTCTGCTTCGCTTTTATGATGTGCTGTATGCTGGAAGCGGGCCAGCGACACCATCTCTTAATTGCAAGGCCAGCGGCTTAGCCAGAGCCAACAGTCACACTGCGGAGGTGGGATTCCGGGAGCGCTCCGCAGCCCCGCCACGGCGGCGCCAGCCGGGCTGGGCTCCAAAAGGGCGCAGGTTACCACGATCGGGCCCTGCGTGACCTACACGGAGCGCGGCGGACCCTGTCGGGGCCGTGTGTCGGTAGCGGGGCGGTGCGCGCCCCCGGCCCGGTGTGGCGGAGGGAGCGCCGGGCACCCCCGGCCCGGCACCGCGGGACCTCCGCAGGGGCGGGGCCAGCTGGGGGCGGGACGCAGGGCGCTGCTCCCATTGGGCATCCCCACGGCGGGGCGGGGCTTGTTCTGTGGCGGTCTGGGGGCGGGGCTAACTTTATGTCCTTTTCCGCAGGCTGCGGAGCGCTGATTGGCTGAGGAGTCACCCAGGGGCGGTGCCGAGCTGCAGCTCTCTGCGGAGCAACTTCTGATTGGCTGCTGGCTCTGTGGGCGGGGCCGCGCTGTTATAAGTGCGGGGTCTGGGGGCTCCGAGCACTGTCGGTGCGAAGCTCCGTGCCTTCCTGCTGTTCCGTCCAGCCCGGCCATGTGAGTGTCCGCCCGACGGGCCGTGGGCGAGCTGCGGCGCGGGGGTGGTACTGCTGCAGCAGCAGCGTGAGGGACGGGGGTCGGTGCAGAGCCCGCGTCCTGGCCGGCGGCGGTGGGGTCGGGTGGCGCATTGCAGCAGCCGCAGGCTGGGCTGCCCGCACCGCCCCCGGGCGGTCCCGCTCCCCCGCTGGCTGCGTGGGTGAGTGGGTGCGTGGGCCGTGCCCCAGTGGGGATGATGTGCGGAGCCCCCGCCGGAGCCAGCCTGGCCGGCGGCCACCACTGCGCCCAGCCCGGTGCCCCCGCGCTGCTCCCTGTCCCTCTTTCCCACCTTCCTTCCCCAGCTCCCGGTCATGTCCGTGCGGCCAGGTCGCTGTTCCCCCCGGGAGGCCGCAGTGCGTGGCGCGACCGGACCCGCAAGCTCTTTCGGCGAGGGGGGCTCGTTCCATTCCCACTGCCCCCTAGGGCTTGCCCCTGCTTTGGGGTCTCCCTGTTCCCGATGCGGCGGGATCCAGCGAGGCTGAGGCTGTCGAGGCTGCTGCCAGCGCTGCTGCAGCCCGGGGACACTGGGGTTCCCCCCCGGATTTGGGGGGTTCTCTCTCGAGCGGATGTTTCCCTTGGCTCATGTGTGTGCTCCCCTAGGTCTGACCCGGCTCAGCAGCCTGCTCCCGGCGCTCCCGAAGGAGGGGCTCCCGAAGGAGGCGCTCCCGAGGGGGCAGCCCCCGGTGGGGGTCCCCCCGGGGCTCCCCCCAACCTGACCAGCAATCGCCGCCTGCAGCAGACGCAGGCACAAGTGCAGGAGGTCAGTAGCTCTGCCGGCCCTGATGGTGGTCGGGCTCATGTCCCACCGCTCTGCAGCAGCAGCAGCAGCGATGTTCCCGACCCGTGTCTGGCGCTGAGGGGGTGGCTCCTTTTGTCATGCCAAAGCCAGAAATTAATGCTGAATACTCAAAAATAGGGTGGCAAACCTATTAAAGAAGCTGGAGGAGAGATTGCTTTATGTTTAATAGCCACTTCATTCCCGATATGACTTCCAAGGAGCAGGCTTGCTAGATTGTTTTGGTACCTCGTTATCGCGCATCTCTTATGGGAATAAAGCTGTACGGCATCCAGGACAGCTCTTAATCCCCGCGGGCTGCTCCAAGGGAACGCTGTGTGCAGTGATGTGGGGAACCCTTGCCTGGCTGCCCGGGATCAGAGCCTGTGCCTTGGCTGCTGTAGCGCCTGTGTGCCTCACCGGGGCAGCAGCACGAAGCTGATAAGGAAATTTTGCAGCTCCCGGGAGTGAGTGAGCACAGGGCTCCTCTCATAGGGAGGGTGCCTTTAGCTTGCTGCTGGAATGGAGAGCTCTTAGAAGCAGATGAGAATGTGAGGCTGAGGACCTGCTTGAAGTGATGTTTTAACAGTGACTCTCGGATTTTTTTTTCATTCCAAAGTAGCCGATGACTTGAAATCACTTCTTTCTTACCCTGATCTTCCCCCCACTCTTGTTCATGTTTTTTGTTGGTTAGTATTGCAACATTGATTATTGGCTAAGTAACTCCTCTTACATTTTCAGCTGTCTTTAACAATACACCTGCTCCCACTGCTCTCCCTCTGCAGGTGGTTGATATAATGTGTGTGAACGTAGACAAGGTGCTGCAGCGAGACGAGAAGCTGTCCGAGCTGGATGACCGGGCAGACGCGCTGCAGGCCGGCGCCTCGGTGTTCGAGAGCAGCGCGGCCAAACTCAAAAGGAAGTACTGGTGGAAGAACTGCAAGGTGAGCTTCCTATTGCCATGACCTCCTTGTCAGGAGGGAGCTGGGCTACTCCTCTCCTGCAGAGCTTTCAAGTATAGCTGGAGCTTGCTAACAATTTCAAATGCTTAAGGTTCTTTCGCTGTGGGAAGGCTTTGAGGCCTTGGCTGTCTTGCCTTTGAGGCCTGGCTTGGGTTCCCTGGCTGTCAGGAGGAATGGGAGCTTGTCAATCTGTTCTGAGTATTGCTCTTGGACAATCTTTTTCTTCAGATGATGATCATGATGGGAGTGATTGGTGCCCTTGTGGTGGTGGTGATTGCAAGTAAGTACCAAAAACCTCAGGCTCAAAGGTGAGGAAATACCAGCTCTAGAGTACTCTTAACTTTTCCTTTTTGTTTTGAGGTCTTGAGGGTCTTAGTTATGTAAGTGTCAACTCCAGTCTTTGGGAAAGGGAGGTAGAAGTGCTGGAGCTCCCTCACTTAGTGTGGAAATGGCATGCTTTACCTAGTAATATGAGGAATGGGGAATGCCATCACTGTAGAAATGGGAAATTCTGCCTGCCAGGTCAGATAAACCTGTAAGTATGAGGGGCGTTTACCCTGGAGTGGGTGGGTTGGCAAGTTCCTTCCCTGGTGGGTGGTTTGGAGTTCTCTGAGGGACCTTTGGTGTAACTTGCCCTTTTGTTCTTTCCTTTTTTCTTTTTTCTATTGCTTTGTCTCCAGTCTACTTTTTTACTTAAATGTAGCTCCTTCAGTCTGCAACCTCCTGTCCCCTATTACCTTGCCTGTCTCTTCTTGCCTCTGAGTTTTTCCTTTCCTTCCCTTTCACCTAGCTTCCTCATTGATTTCCTTATTGGTTTTAATTTATCTTCTGTATAGGACTCTGAGCTGCTTACTAAACATAGGTAGCCTTTTCAATAGCTGCTGCAGCTTTAGGGAGCATCCTCTAAGTTTAGAGGAAAGGGAAGCTGAGGAAGAGTGGGTAGCTATTTGCTCCTGCTCTTCTGCAGAGAACTTTTTGTGTTTATTTTTGGGTGTAAGCTTGTCAAATCATGCCTGTGTGAACTTTAGCAAAATAAGAATGCCTTAACACAGTGCCTTTTGGGATGAAGGACTGCAGCATGTGAGAGCCTCTAGTGTTCTGCCTAAAAAGAGTGGCAGCATGACTTGAGCTTTTCATTGAGCTTCTGAAAAAAAAGCTAGTTTGTGTTGGCCAGTGGCTGTGAGCCACCTAGTAATGTAGGTTTCTCTAGCCATGGAGGGGTGAGCACTCGAAGAAATGATTTATTCTGCCTGAACATGGCCATTTCAGTTTTTATAAAGGAGGGCCTACATGATTACCTCAGTCAAGTGCAGCAGGCTAAACACAGTTCAGTGAAAGGGGCATTGCTACCACCTGAAAGGCATGTGTGGGAGTAAAGCCTCTCTCCACAAGGAACAAATGAACAACAATTAGTCAAATATGCCTTTCATCTATGCACACACAAGCCAGGACCCTGTAGCTTCCTACCGTCTTGTAGCTTTCCAGAAGGAAGACTTTGGAGCAGTGGCAGAATGGGAATTGGTGTTTTGCTTTTGTGTGACTGGGTTGAAGGTTGAGGAAGCTCACTGCCACAGCAGATAGAGGTGAAGGGGGCTGGAGGTATTCCAGATGAGGCTGAATGAGCTGCATGGCTTTCTGATTAAGAATATCTGCTCTGTTTCTGCTGCCACAAAGCCCTAACTTTCATCAGGAGTTAGAAAACACTTGAAATGGTTAGCTGGGGATTCAAAGGGAAATGGTGCTTTGGGCATGGGTATTGCCAAGTGGCATCAGTTTGGCAACTTACGCCTCAGAGATCTTGCTGATCAAACTGAATGCTCCAGTTTGCTGTGGGTTCTCTTGAATTTAGGTCCAGGGTGGTTTCTGATGGAAGTAAATGTGTGGCTGTGGCTTTCTGTGAGTGATTCCCTTGTTCTTCTCCATCAAAAGTAACAGGAGCTGTGAGTTGTTTGAATGGTTGTCAGACATGGGTTAAATGAGCTGCCCTGTTCCTGTAGAGTCCTCTGAGGAATGTGTATCTTGTCTTTTAACTTTTTTTTAATAATCTGAGTTGTAGCCTGTAACCTAGACTGGAAAGAGGGTGCTCCTTTAGTTTAGAAAGCTCTGCCTCTGTTCTAGAATACACTGGGATCTGTTTAGGCCTAAGAGGAGGCAGGGAGGACATCACTGGAGTTCCCAGATAGGAGCAAAGTACAAAAGATGGGAGGAGCAGATGCTTTTTGTTTCACTGGATGTGCTGGGGAAGCCCCTTTCTGCCTCGCAGGACACCTGGCAAGGGGCTAGGTTTTGCATGCTCACTTCCATGGCCCAGCATTTTCATTTGAGTTCATCTCCCTGCAATTCCATTCCTCTCCACCTTGGGGGAGGGCAGAGATGAAGATCTGGAGTGAAGCAGCTCTCGTCCCCTGAGCACTTCCCTAATTCCCTGGAGCTGAGATGGGATGGACGGTCAGAAGTGCATCTGCTGAAGAGGAGCCAGGGCCTGCTTGTGCCACCTCCTGCTCTCATTTTAGGGGGTAGGCTTTTACAAGCTTGAGGCCCCCAGACCAGCAATTCTCTTGAACTCTTCTAAACAAGCCTTTGGTGCCCCATTCCTCCTGTCTCTCTGGGAGCTGAGGTCCCCCTAGGCTGTCTCTTTCATTTCTTTCTCTCAGATGTTGTATGTTGCCTCTTCCTCTGCTCCCTTTCCCCTCCTTTGTGTCTCTGTGCATGGGCAAAACAAATCACCAAGGCCCTCTTAGTAAAAGCAAGGGACTCTGCTGCCCACGGCATCACAGCCACTCATGCACGTGCAGTTTATTTACTTCTCTATAAATACAACTGTAATCTCCTCTGGCATGTTCTAGAAATCAGCTCATGTACTTTTAATGGTCTCTAAGAAACACAATTCACCACCTTACTGAGTCTGTCTGGTCTGTCAGTGAGTGGGAAGGGGTTGGGATGCCAAACTTCTGGAATTTCTTTTTGTTGTGACTTCCCTAGCATGCACATACCTGAAGTTGTGTCCCTCGAAGCAGTGGCTGCTTTTCCATTGTAAACTGATGGTAGTTCCAGTTGTGCTGGAGTGACTCTGTAAGTCTGTAACAAGATGTGAGAAGCAGCAGCTCTGGGGGAAGAGGCTGCCCAAGCCAAGTCTGCTTTCAGCCACTGAATGTCCAGCCAGTGTCCTGTTCAGGGGACTGCCTTCTGTGCATTACTGTGTTAGGGGCAGCTCTGGCTCTCAGGCTGTGCTGCCTTTGGACTTCAATAACCTCAAACCCAGAAAACAATTCTCCATTGGTGTTGGAATATAAGTTCAGGACCCAAATGAAGACCTCCAAGAGTAGGATGCTGTTCACAACATATATTGGAGCATGACTGGAGTAAAGGTAAGTGCCCCTTTGTGTTACTTCACTGTACATTGGAAACTCATTAAAAGGAAATGACAGAGCTTTGTCCACTGCAGACTTCTTTTAAAATTAGGTAGCCATGCCCTTATCTGCCCTTATTGCTACAAAAGCTAGGTTGTAAGCCAGTCTTCCATGTGGCTTCTGGTTCCCTTATGATCAGTCTTTGTCCAGTCTTAAACATCACCAAAATCCACTCCAGAACAGTGAACACACTGGAGCAACTCTCAATGGTGAATTTGGAACAGGGCAGCTAGACTTATTCTTCCAAGATGGAAGCCTTCCTGGGAAAGAAGGGTGTCTGGACTGGCTGGTGGATTAAAGCAGCATGTACAGTCTAAAATTCCCCACAGTTCAGGCCTGCACAACCTGAACAAACGAGTCGTGCTACAATTCCTGCCAAGTTCTGTGTTGCGTTCCTGTCAGTTCTCAGCCTCACTCATGTAGGGGGACAGGGAAGATGTTTTCATGGGACAGATGCATTTTTGGACTGTTGATGATGCAGTGTCCAAGCCCCTAGCCAAAGCTGGGGATTGAATGCTCATTTTCCAAAGCTGGCAGCTGCTCTGGGGCACAGAGCTGGGGCTGAACGTACTGCTGAAAGTTGCCCCAGGGTTGAGCCCAGTTCATGAGTCATGTTGTGGCTGTTTGCAAAGACTTGCATGTCTAGCTATAAATCCTTTGTTAGGCACTGAAAATATCATGTTCTACTGGAAGCTCTTCTGAGGTGCCATCCTTACCTGCATCAGCGTTTCTGCTGCTCCTGCACTCTCTTATCCCAGACAAAACAGGGTTTTAAATGTGCTCCAAAAGCAAGGCCAAGGCTCTGGGAGAATAGTTCTTTGAATGTTTAATTAAAAAGTCAAGGTCTGCCTTTAAACATGGAACATGCTTAACATGCCTTTGAGCTGGAATGGATTGCCCAGAGAAGCTGTGGATGCCCCATCTCTGGAGATGTCCAGAGCTGGGTTGGATGGGGCTTTGAGCAACCTGGTCTAGTGGAAGATGTCCCTGTCTGTGGTAGGGAGTTGGAGCTAAGATGTTCTTTAAGGTCACTTCCAACCCAAACCATTCTGTGCAAAATGCAGCTCCCATATCAGCTGCTTCATCCTGATGTCTCCAGATGTGGTGGAAGAAAAGCCTCAACTGTACAGCTCCTAAATGGATATACCCCAAACCTTCCTATCTCCAGATGCCTGAGGCATTGCTCTGGCCTTTCCTGAGGTGTCTCTGTGCTGGTCAAAGCCAGGTGCAGGCTCTCAGCACTGGTGGGGTTTGTTGTCTCAGCTGGAGAGCAGCCAAATGATGATGGGGAAGACAGATTTTTCTTCACAGCTGGCATGCAGCATCAACACTTGTTTAATGAACCTGGCTTCCTTGGGAAGTGACAGAGGTCCCTGCTCTGATGTATCCACTGGGGTTGGAAGCCTTAACTTGGTGAAGGAAGGTAGTAAGGGGGAGGTTTAATCTTTGTTCTGACCTCTAAACAAATGATTGCTCTGAGAGATGTAACAGATAAAGATACAGCTTTTACAAATAGGCAGCTCAGCCATGTCTGAGCCTCCACACTCCTGATAATATTTGACCTATTTTTGGCCTGAGATAGAGTACAACACTTACACAAAACACCCTTACTTGCTCCCCAGGTTTCAAATATGAACAGCCTCATAATGTCCTTTCCTTCAGTGCACAGACCGACCCACTAAATGATTTCTGCAGAGGACTAAATGACACTTTCTTTTTACGTTCTTCCCTCGGAGGCTTATTTTCCAAAAGCCTTTGTACTGTTTTTTAAAACTAAATTTGTCATAAATGTATGAAAAATTTAATAAATATTATAAGCTCTTTTTAGTTCAGGTCTTTTAAGCATGCACTTGGAAGCTGAAGGCTCCTTCCCCTCTTATGCTTACAGGCTCCCTTTAAATATTGTGTATTGTTAAATATAGGGAAATGTGACTGAATGTGGCTGTGCCTCTGTTCCTGATCTCTGTGGTTCCCCTGTGTCCTTTCACCAGCAGCACTACTGCCTGTTTAATTTCTTGATGTAGCCTGTAACCCTGCAGATTTTACTGAACCTGTCCCAGGAACTTGGTAACCCTTTCTTCAAATTCCTTCTCTGTTTGACCTCAGTCTGTGCAGACAATCCTTGACCTATCTGTCCAGCTTCTCTCAATCTCTCCAGCAGGCAGGGTTTTGTTCTTCTAAATATATTCTTTATTTTCCAAAGTGATGGTTCTCTCATTTTTTTTCTAGCTTCCCTAGACACTATATTGTACTTCCATGCCTTTCCTCTATTACCTTAATTCTTGTGGAAAAACCAATAGTTTGGCATCTGTTCCCAGCCCAAAAAGACACAACCTTCATCTGTTTCCTGCAAGTTTTCCATGTCCACAAAATAACTCTGCTGTGCCTCTTACACGCCTATGAGTACTGAGCATCCCCTCAACTTTCTCCTCTTGTACAAATTCACCCCAGCTCAGACCTTTAATTTGCCTTTTGCTGACCTGCAGATCCCCAAACTTGCATGCTTTCTTCCCTTTTCTCCAATTTTTCATGTTCTCACTGAAACACTCCCATTTTTTGGGCTCTTAGTCCAGCACTGCTGGCCTTGCCTCTTGTTTTCAGCCAGACCAAGCTCACTCTACATCTGCTGAGCTCGTTTGTGGTCTTGCCAGCCTACAAGAAACGTAGGGATTATTTCTGGAACAAGCCCCTGATTTCTCCCAAGATGGCAATTTTTTGCACTGATTCACAGGACAGGGAGGGTTCATCTATTTACCAACTTGTATAACTGCTTC